GCAGAACTTTATTAATTCTCACTAATGACTAGAAGACCCATTGTGGATTAGTTGGCAAATTAACGAGTAAGCAAGCAAATATGATTACAAGAAAACATCAAGGTTACTGCATCACCAAATATACTTTGTTAATTTATGTCGATACATTGTTTAGTTTTAATCATCTCCAGTATGTTTATTAGCATATTTTGCAAAATTAACAGTCTTCTACAAAATCAAACAACTACAGTGCTGCCAGACTCTAAACCTTTACTGAGCACAAGAAAGTCACTTCACCAGGAGATTTGTTAAACTCAAATTCATACATTCAGCAACAAAAAATCCTTGCAAGGTTTCTCATTGCTTCTTCAGTGCATAAGGCATTTTCTTAACCATCGATTACAGACACAGTTCAAATACATACAAATATCCATCTTGCAGCATTTCATTGTAAACAATGCAAGTCGGTTGTTTTAACTTAATCCTTAAGTGTGGATGAACTCGCTGAATTAATGGGAAATATTAAGCCATGTTGAAACTCGAGGCGCGTAGATACTGCCTGAAGCCCAGAGCCCCTCTTCTGCCGGCCTGTACAGAACTGTTTCTTCCCAGAGCCAGCTGCATTCAGCACATCCCGTCCCGGTCACTGGCCCGGCCCTGAAGTCTCCACTCATTGTCAAGTCTCCACTTCAAGTCATGCCCTTCATCCTAGGGTCCGGGAGCAGGGCTGTGCTACTCACTGGTGCTGCCCCTTCCTCCGTCAGCCACATGCATGTTCCAAATGAACTCTGCACATTCCCTTGTGACACACAATAGTCCTGGGAGCCAACTGCCCAACAGTCACACCTCTGGGTTCACAACAGCCCCTGGCAACCTTCCCCCAGCACAGCAGCATGCAATGAGCTCCTGTCAAGAGGTAGTATTGTATCGCCATGAAACGCTGTCCCCAATATCCTACACTGCAGGGCCTCACCCTGGGATCCTCAGCTCCACGCATCAGATGCATCGCTGAAGGGGGCATTCCACAGCTACGGCCCTGCAGAGGACACCAAATTACTCTCTTCTTCAAGCACCCGTGCCCCAGCGTGCAGCTTGGCACTTGCCCTCCACACTTCTTGTGGGGAAAACACCAAGCCGGACAACCGCGAGTGCAAAGAAAACTAGCCCCACTCAGCCCCTCTCCCGCTATGTTCATGTTACCCCGCTGCTGCCCCCCACGACAGGCAGCCCAGCACTCCTTGACTGAATCACAGCCAGCTCCCAGGCCCCTCTGGACCATTAGGATGCAATTAGGACTATTTGCAGTTTTAGATCATTGGAAAGCAGCCCAGACAAGGATCAGCCCTTCCTAAAACGCCCATACCAACATCTCCATGAGCAATGACTACAGCGATCCACTGCGCAGTGACTCCTCCCCGCTGCAATGGATCATTTTATTACAAAGCTCTGTAAGTGTCAGCGGTGCAATTCATTTTTATTAATTTTCTAAGATGAAATTAGCAGCACCCGCAGCAGCAAACCAAGAATGGGGAATGTTCCGGTTCAGTGCTGGATCGATGTCATTAATTTGTTAATACCAAGAGGCCTGTTTGTATGAACTCAGCATTTAACTGCACCAATTAATTTCAATATTAAAAAAAAAATCAAAATGAACTCAACAACTAATTTAAGAAGGTCCTTGAAAAGCCGTTGCAACTTCCCTCCTCCTGGGACATTATGCTTTCAAGTCTAAATACACAGGAGCGGGATATTGTAATATTAATAGGAAAATTGCTATTTTTATGCATTGCCTTTAGCAAACTAAACAAACCCTTAAAGTCTTAAAAACCACTTCCACAAACACATGCATATTTCTGATGTATTTAATGGTGCTGCAGTTATCCCCTGACTCTGCTTAACAGACTTTCTGACCACTCAACAGGCTGAGTTGGCAAAGGCTCAAGGAGACGTCTTTCGGCATCAATTCTATAACCCAAGCTCCCCCGCCAGATGCAGCCTTTTCAAATACAATCATTTTACCGACCGTGCAGAAGCCAATGGGCACAGTGAGAAACTGTGTAGGCAAGCAAAAGGTGGCAGCACCCCGACACTGCAGATTGACATGCCTGTCACTAGCAATAAAGCGTAGACCCCTCCCCCCCTGCTGAAGAGGTGTGTGAGATGCTACACCCCAGGGCAGCAGCCGGTGACCCCCAGAGCTATCCTTTGTGTATAACTGATACTGCTTATGAGCAGGCTGGGCGAGGTGCCAGGAGCAAGGCGAAACTCGGGTTCCATTGCGACACACGTATCATTAGTGCAGATGAAGCTGAGAATCGTGCTGGGTGGGTGTCACTACAACATGCTGTGGGCCTGGGAATCGTCCGGAGATCAGCTCTCCCACAGACCCCAGCAAAGACAGTAACAAGCACCCGGGCGGGTGTCAAAGCACCAACAACAGGCGTTGCCCAGCAAAGGTGCTACGATGCAACGACTTATCTGCATGAAGCTGCACTAGGGGAAGGGCGTGGCTTTGTCTGGGGACTCAGCCACACCCCCAGACATGCCCAGACTTGTGTTCTCCCAGCTCAGGGACTAAGGGGACAAAAGAGAACCCGACGCCCAGGCTTCTCCTTCCCCCACCTACACTGCAAGCAACCCGGACGCACTGGAGACCCAACAGCGGAGGCTGGCCCAGGTTCCAAGGGGAACCCTGTGTACTATGAACGGCAATATCTTTGGGGCAAGAAAAGCTTCTTCATCGGGATGTTGCCCAGCCAATAGGGTTGAGAGTTTTGATTATGGGTTTATATTCCATTTTCTTTTGGTAACCCTCTGTCTTTCGCCTGCCCCTTGTAATCACTTCAGCTCTCTCTTCTGTTCCTTGTTTTCCTGTTTACTCTTACCAGTGAGTTGGCCCGAAGTGTTTGGTAAATCTGTGTGGGTTCACAAAGGCTGATAAAGCGAGGAACCAATTAATAAATCTTGCACTACTCAGGAAAGGGTCTCGAGACAGTATATTCCTGAGGCACAAGGCTGGGAGCTAGGGGACCGGGGGAGGGGGGCAGAATTTAGCTAGTGCCTCTCTCTCTCTCTCTCTCTCGTTAGTTCGAGCTAGGTAGGGTAATGAGGGCAAGCGGAGTTGCAAATGAAGCCTGGGATTTAAATAACTTCATTTGCATGTTCCCGGGCACCGCCATTTTTAAATCCCCCTTAGTCCGAACTCCGTGCCCACAGCTACACGCGGCATGGAGTAGGTAGATCGAATTAAAGATCCTAACTGGAACTACCGTTACTCCTCATTCCACTAGAACAACCTGAACTACCAGCAATTCTAGTTACATGCTTGAGTCTGGTGACGCACCACCTGTAGAAGCACACGAAATTTCTCCCCTCTCGACCCTTCACACACGCCCGGTTTGATAGCAATTAATTAAGAACTTGTTTAATAACATAAGAGGACATTAAGGCAGCTTGAATGCTAGAGAAATGGGGGTAGAGAGTGTCCTAAGCTAGCAGAAGTTGTCTTCTAACTTCCCAAAGAAAGCCACCCTTCTCTGTTCTTCAGCTGCTCTTCTACTGTCCTCCTGTGCCTACACCCTCCCCTTGGCTGTGAACTACTAAACATTCAGTGCGTTAATCTGTACTATTCGTTACGGTCAATAACCATTCCTGTATCTTACTGTCATTTCTGCCCCTACTAATTACAAAGGAATATGATGCCAAACCGAGCAACAAACCATCAGAGACTCAGCTTGTGTTGGGCCTGCAGCACCCTCATTTCTCGGGGACATCCTTCCCATGGGGAGATGGAAGAGGCACTCCGCTCTCCAGCGCTTCGTCTACACCGAGGCCTCGCCTCTCTGCTCTCCATGCAGTCATCAGCACCGTGGAATTCAGAGGCTCCCCTCAGGAAAATCATTCGAGTTCTTTGTATTATTTGGGGGCAGGCGAGGCCTGAACTACAAATCTGAATAGATGATTATTCCCCCGAAGACGTGTTCTTACACCAGTCTCGTTGTGAACAGGGGCTGAGCTTTTCCCAGTTACGCAGCAAGAAAGACTTAGCACTTCGGCACGGCCTGCTGCACTAAACCCCTTCTGACTACCTCACTGGCCCCATTCACCGGCCGTGAGAAAGAGGCTGAGAGTTAGAAAAAGCAAAAATGGGATTTTCAATAACACCCCCAAACTTCTTACATTCTCTGTAAACACAAATTCCATTTTTTGTTTTCAGCCACACCTCCTGTAACTTCAGGTCTCAACATAATAAAATGATCTTCAAGATTCCACGACAGGAAAACATCTGTAGTCTTTAAATTTACCGCACCAATTCCAGGCAGGTTGCAGAAGATAAACATGTTTGGTAGTTGGAAGAATACATGACATTTACGGCTTAACACACTGCAAACGTGCCTGCTAATTTGGCTTTTGGGGATCTCCTTGCCACCAGACACTTAACCCCAACAAGAGACATGCCAAGAAGTATTAAATACAAGTGTAGGCATACCCTACAAGTCAGGCGATATAAACGCTTTATGTTGGCATTCTTACAGACAAAATACTTCCACCTCTTAGCAGTGGGCTTCGCATTGTCAGCGAGAAATCATTTCTTGCCAACAACAAGCTGTTTATGCAGACACTTGCCATGGCAAAACTTTTGTCTTTAGGAGAGGGAGGAGATAGGTTTAAGAACCTGTGAACGACAAAAGTTGTGTTGACAGAGCATTGTCAAGATAAATAGCCTACAACTTTCACTCAACAAATCCTTTTAAATGCATTCATCTGAAAGAATACAATTAAATGTTAAATCATCGGGTTAAAACTTTTACCTGTCAAGATTTCAGGAGTTCTATTTTTAATCAATTTGATTTCATTCAATAAAACACTCATTAAGTCAATTAATGAGATATCCATGTCACAAACTATCAAGCATGCCTTGGAGTTTTCATTTTGCGCCCAATGAATTGATTAGCAAGTCAAGTAATCAGCGAAAACAAACCAATGTACATTTTCACAAGCTGCAATATTCACAATGTTACCTTGTTTTAGGGGAAGTCGTTAGCCATTCTTCGTGCTTTTCAAATGTTATTAAATAAGCTGCAATTTCCTGAAAAAGAAAAATGTGCAAAAAAGAATTAACTTGCATCGTAATTTTGGAGAGTTGAAAGTTTCACAAAACAAAACTTCTCTAAATCTGCTCTGCCCTCAAGTCGGACACTTTTCATCCCACCTTTGCTGCTAGATCCTTGACTTTTCCAGTTGGAAAAGCCTTCTTGGCACACTACTGTGGGCTGGAAAGGGCAGATGGCTAGAGAGGACCAAAATATTCCAGTCTTTAAAACAGAGCAGATGAGAAATGGCTTCCTACCCCAAGTGCCTTTCCAGGAACCGTTCGTGGTGGATGTATTCCTGCATCTACTGCAAATGGCGACATTCGCAAATACCGGGAGCTGTGGTGCCCAGGTCCTGCAGGTGAGCTCCCTGCAGCTCCCAAACTCACCACGGGGAACTCACTGCAGCAGCCAGGAGCTGTGGGTAACAGGCTGGGGCAGACTAGTAATTCCAGGAATCACAAAGGTCTCCTGTAATTTAAAACCAGAAGCAGGCAAGAGGTCTCTTCACTTAGTCCCAGTCACAATGTCACGTGCTAGTGAAGCCTCTGCCAGAGACAGAGCCACTTATAAATCTTTCAACCCGGCAGGAGAACTTTGTGCTTTGCCGGCTTCCACACCAAGTCCAAAGCCCCCAAAGCCGAACTGCGTAAAGATTAAAAGGAAAAGGGAGAAATACATTAACCTCTTCCACGCCAGAGAAAGCCTTGATAACACCAACTCCTGTGCAGCTGCTCTGAGCGCCGTGCCGGCCAGAAAGCTAAGGGCACGACGGTGGGAACGTAGGCACCTGAAGGTGAATTAAATATTTATACGCACAACATCACTGCAGAGAGTCACAGATTTATTAATCATTTCCACGGAAAACCAGTGAGTGACATCACTAAGTCATTGCTCCCACTTGCAGGCACCATTACTTGCAGATCAGAACCGACTCGTTGACGGGAATTTGGCAGCCTGCACGTTACGTTCAGATGGTTCTGGGATGTCTGGTTCCGGAACTTGACATTACAACACAACACCAAATCAATGTCCTGAAGCCCCCCAGAAAGGTGCTGAACAGGAATCACGCATCGGCTTTCCATTAGAAGACTCCAAACTCCAACTCTGGCGCAGTATCAGGCACATGCATATTTTATAGAGGAAGGTCCTAGACTGAACTCACAGCACTTCCACAGAGCACCGGCTAAGTCCCTCCCCACCTTTGAATGCACCATTCCAATCCACTCCCCTCCTGTTTTGTCAAAGTATAGGAACTTCCATATTGGATCATTCCATACATGCGGCAGGTGGGGTGGGGTGGGGGGTGGTGGGGGAGGGCAACAAACCTCCTAGTGGACAATTATGCAATACCCGACCTGCAGACAAATTCCTTTGTAACCATGTCAGGTCGCAAGTGGCCTGTGTCTTGGAAAGAGGTTTTGCCTTATTCTGTCTGATAAAATGTTGGATGATTCTCATTGTCTTCCCAGTGTCTGACCCTAGCTCCTGAACCCTGGACTCCCTTGTGACTGGGTGCCACAGGTAGATTACGCAAGGTGGAAAACGAAATCCCGACCTGCAGACAAATTCCTTTGTAACCATGTCAGGTCGCAAGTGGCCTGTGTCTTGGAAAGAGGTTTTGCCTTATTCTGTCTGATAAAATGTTGGATGATTCTCATTGTCTTCCCAGTGTCTGACCCTAGCTCCTGAACCCTGGACTCCCTTGTGACTGGGTGCCACAGGTAGATTACGCAAGGTGGAAAACGAAATCTCCTTTTACTGTTTGTCAGTCTGTTGCTCACGCAACGCAGCTGTTCTGCCCCTGGCCTGGGGGGCGTTAACAAGATGATTTGGGGAGGGGGAGGAGATCCGGGGCAGCGTTCTACAGGGAGCAGGTTCACCAGCCCCAGACCACAAGGGGAGTGTCCAGACGGCAGCCAGGAGTGAAATGCTCTATGCAGTAATATACAGGCCAGCACTTTATCCTTCACTACAGCATCCGGCCGCCGCAGCACTAGGGCGGCCATTAGACCTGCTGCCGAGCGTGTGGACTCCCCATGGGCAGAAAACCTGTCTTGCTGGAATGCGGAGCCAAGGCCTCGCCTCAGCCAGTCTTGCTCCAGCTGCAAGGACTGCACCAGCCCTGCTCCTTTGGCTTTTACCCAGGCCGAGCACGTCTCACCTTCCACACATCATGCCAGTGCCCTGCCCTCCCAGCACCCCACCCCAGCGGGCAGAAGCGCTCCTCGCCTGTCAGCATCACCACCAGCCCTGGTGGAACGGCTCTGTGCCAACAAGGGAGAAAACCGCTCTGCTCAGGGACCACCCCAGGCTAACATGCAAGAGGGCAGAACTCCCATTCCCCAGACTGGCTGTGGCGCTCTGCCTCTGGGCCCGGGTCAAATTACATCGGGAGAGCTCAGCTCCAGCTGACACACGGGGTGAGGTAATATTGGTTCTTGGACCAATCGCTGCGGGCGAGTGAGCTACCTAGAGTTCTTCTCCGGGCATGAAAGGGATTCCCAGCAAAAACACCAGGTGAGGCAGATTGCTTGGCCTAAGCAGCTAGTACACATTCCCAGGGCCGTTCAAGGCCTCCCGGCAACCAGCACATCTGTCAAGGCATTTTCCCATGCAGAAGTGGGGGCCCGCAAAAGTACCCCAAAACCTTCTCTTCCCAGGCTTTGGTATAAAACTTCCCCCCAAAATCTTAAAAGCCTAGATTTTGGGGATAAAATCCTCTGCCACCACCCAAGTAAGGATAAGAAAATCAGGAGACAGATCACTTGGGAAATCTCAGTCCTACAGTAAAACCAGGACACACAAAAGTTAACCAATCCCAGGTTAATAAAAAGGATGAGAAAGAACTTTTCTTATCACCACAATACTCCTGTTCCAAGCATAATGACTAGATGGAAAAGTCACCAATTAATAAACTCTGGGGAATTCCACCATGGGCCCAAACATAGTAACAAAGGAGAGAAAAACCCATTTTTAAATGAACAGACCTCAGATTCCCATTCCCAAACCATAAAACCTAACGGACGTATCTAAACTTTACCCTACTTACAGATAGTGAAGAGTCTTTTCTTGGAGACAGACATGATGTCTGTCCCCCTCAGTAGCTAGAGAGAAACTGCCCAGGGACAAAGGAGGGAAAACCCCCCAAATTCCTTTGTTCCAGTTTGAAATCCCTATCAGCATTTCTATTGGCTGAGCAGATACCTGGCTAGGTAAGGGACATAGTTACCCCCTTAGTCCCCAGGCTGCTGGCAAACCCTCATGGTCATGACAGAGGCCATTCAAGGCCTCCTGGCAGCCAGCACTTCCCACATCACCACTGCACAAACGTCCAAGAACCAGAAAGAGAAAAACGCCCACAGCTCCAGGGCAGGCAGGTCTCACCCCAGTGGGGGAACCTTCACTTTAATGTTTCTTCCTCAGTGTCGCAGGTCTACAGCCTCCACCCCACCTGACTCGCATCAGAATTTGCACAGGAGCGCTTGCAACGCTGCTCCCAACGTGCAGAAGAGACTCAGGACCGCTGCTGCTTACGCGCACGAGTTTACAGCCGCTCTGGCTGCATTTGGCGTGTTTCTTAAAGCCCCAGCTCCTGGGATCATGTGAAAGGGAATCTTCACCCTCGTTTAAAACACAAGGGTAACATGCTGGCCCTTGGGCTTGGGCTTGGGCTTGGGAATACAGCAGGAACCAAATGCATCCCCAGAAGTTACTCTGCCTTCAAACTGAGCTGATGCCACAGGGCCAGGCCCCTTCTCCAGGGTCAGTCACTCCTCTTGGCGGGAGGGATAGTCACAGGCAGTTCTCCTCTCCGGTCTCTTCGCCTCTACCAGACTCAACTCAAACCCCCAGGAAAGCAGTGGGCAGAACACGGGAAGCTGCAGTGTAAGGGGGAAGCTATGTCTGGCTGGGAGGGGGTGTGCACCACTCCCAGGTGGGCTGGAGGCTACCAACATGAGCCCAGTAGGGCCTGGGACTGAGCCAGGGTAGTGGGGGAGTAACGGGGCACAGAGCAGCAGACTCGGATTAGGAGGGCATGATGCTGGAATGGAGCTGCTGGGGCTTGCTCTGCGGACCACAGGCTGTCTCAGCACAGGTCTCAGTGCGAGGATGTAACCGCCTGAGTGGGGTGGTGCACAAGGGTCACAGGACCCACCCAAGGCAGTGCCAAGCCTAGAGCTCCAGAGACGCTTGTGTCCTGCCCTGGGCTCAGACCCGCACAACCTCTTCCCCCACACAGAAACTTACATGAGGACATAACAAGAGAACAGCCAGCCGGGGTCAGACCAAAGGTCCCTCCAGCCCAGGGTCCTGTCGGCCGACAGCGGCCAATGCCGGGTGTCCCAGAGGGAGGGAACAGACCACGGAATCCTCACGTGATCCCTCCCCTGTCGTCCACTCCAAGCCTCTGACAAACAGAGACTAGGGACACCATCCCTGCCCAGCCTGGCTCACAGCCACTGATGGACCTAACCTCCATGAAACTATCTAGCTCTTTTTTGAACCCTGTTTAAGTCCTGGTCTTCACAACATCCTCCGGCGAGGAGTTCCACAGGCTGACTATGCGCTGCATGAATAGTACTTCCTTTGGCTGTTTTAAAAGCCCAGGATACTGCACATCCCAGTGCACGAGCAGCTGCAGGGCTAAGTCTGAGTAGCTGCTGGACTGAGGGACAGGAGAACGGTGTTCTGCTCCCACCTCCCAAACGGACTTGTGCCATCACCCTCTCTGTGCCGCTGGGAGCAGCAGTGCCACAAGCCCGGCTCCAATGAGCAGTTTGAGATAGGTGGACAAAAGGCTTCTGTGTGTCAGGTGCTGTTGGACGGGGCCCACGGGCCCTCACAACAAGGCCTGGGAGCCCAGCAGCCACTTCCAGCGCGCCGTTTGTGTTGTCAATATGCAAGGAGGAAAGCAGCAGCCCCCAGCCAGTGTCTGTCCCTACTGCTGACACTGAGAGCACCCTCCCCTCCGCGTGACCCACCGGATTCTCTC